CACATAGGGGCACTTGTACCCCAATGTTTAGAGCAGCACTTTCAACAATAACCAAATTATGGAAAGAGCATAAATGTCCATCAACTGATGAATGGATAAAGAAATTGTGGTTTATGTACACAATGGAATACTACGTGGCAATGAGAAAGAATGAAATGCGGCCTTTTGTAGCAATGTGGATGGAACTGGAGAGAGTTATGCTAGGTGAAATAAGTCATAGAGAGAAAGACAGATACCATATGTTTTCACTCTTATATGGATCCTAAGAAACTTAACAGAAGACCATGGGGGAGGGGAAGGAAAAAAAAAGTTAGAGAGGGAGGGAGCCAAGCCATAAGAGATTCTTAAAAACTGAGAACAAACTGAGGGCTGATGGGGAGTGGGAGGGAGGGGAAAGTGGGTGATGGGCATTGAGGAGGGCACCTGTTGGGATGAGCACTGGGTGTTGCATGGAAACCCATTTGATAATGAATTTCATATTAAGAAAAAGAAAGTGCTGCCATAAACATTGGGGTACAAGTGCCCCTATGTGTCAGCACTCCTGTATCTCTTGGGTAAATTCCTAGCAATGCTATTGTTGGGTCATAGGGTGGTTCTATTTTTGATTTTTTGAGGAACCTCCACACTGTTTCTGTTCATGTCTTCTGCCCATTTCTTCATTGGGTTATTTGTTTTTCGGGTGTGGAGTTGGGTGAGTTCTTTATAGATTTTGGATGCTAGCCCTTTGTCCGATATGTCATTTGCAAATATCTTTTCCCATTCCGTCGGTTGCCTTTTAGTTTTGTTGATTGTTTCCTCTGCAGTGCAGAAGCTTTTTATCTTGATGAGGTTCAAATAGTTCATTTTTGCTTTTAATTCCCTTGCCTTTGGAGATGTGTCAAGTAAGAAATTGCTGTGGCTGATGTCAAAGAGGTTGTTGCCTGCTTTCTCCTCTAGGGTTTTGATGGTTTCCTGTCTCACTTTCAGGTCCTTCATCCATTTTGAGTTTATTTTTGTGTATGGTGTGAGAAAGTGGTCTAGTTTCATTCTTCTGCATGTTGCCATCCAGTTCTCCCAGCACCATTTGTTAAAGAGACTGTCTTTTTTCCATTGGATGTTCTTTCCTGCTTTGTCAAAGATTAGTTGGCCATACTTTTGTGGGTCCAATTCTGGAGTCTCTCTTCTATTCCATTGGTCTACATGTCTGTTTTTGTGCCAATGCCATGCTGTCTTGGGATTACAGCTTTGTAGTAGAGGCTAAAGTCTGGTGTTGTGATGCCTCCTCCTTTGGTCTTCTTCTTCAATATTACTTTGGCTATTCGGGGTCTTTTGTGGTTCCGTACAAATTTTAGAATTGCTTGTTCTAGCTTCGAGAAGAATGCTGGTGCAATTTTGATTGGGATTGCATTGAACGTGTAGATTGCTTTGGGTAGTATTGACATTTTAACAATATTTATTATTCCAACCCATGAGCACGGAATGTTTTTCCATTTCTTTGTATCTTCTTCAATTTCCTTCATAAGCTTTCTATCGTTTTCAGCATACAGATCTTTTACATCTTTGGTTAGGTTTATTCCTAGGTGTTTTATGCTTCTTGGTGCAATTGTGAATGGAATCGGTTTCTTTATTTGTCTTTCTGTTGCTCCGTTATTAGTGTATAAGAATGCAACTGATTTCTGTACATTAATTTTGTATCCTGCGGCTTTGCTGAATTCATATATCAGTTCTAGCAGACTTTTGGTGGAGTCTATCGGGTTTTCCATGTATAATATCATGTCATCTATAGCAGCACTTTCAACAATAGCCAAATGATGGAAAGAGCCTAAATGTCCATCAAATGACAAAGGGATAAAGAAGATGTGGTTTATATATACAATGGAATGCTACTTGGCAATGAGAAAGAATGAAATCATGCCATTTGCAGCAACGTGGATGGAACTGGAGGGTATTATGGCTAGTGAAATAAGTCAGGCAGAGAAAGACAGATACCATGTTTTCACTCATATGTGGATCCTGAGAAATTTAACAGAAGACCGTGGGGGAGGGGAAGGGGAAAAAAGTTACAGAGAGGGAGGAAGGCAAACCATAAGAGACTCTTAAATACTGAGAATAAACTGGGGGTTGGTGGGGGGTGGGAGGTAGAGGGGAAAGTGGGTGATGGGCACAGAGGAGGGCACCTGTTGGGATGAGCACTCGGTGTGGTATGGAAACCAATTTGACAATAAATTATATTTAATAAAAAAAAAAAAATTCTTTTTCCAATAGGACCTGGTTAGATAACAGCTAACAATGACTAAAAGTTAACTATTTGGCAACTATTTTGTAAGGGGCTTACACGCATCCTCTCCCTCCATGTATAATTACTTTATCTCACTTGGCATATGATAAAGCCCTGTATGTTAATATCTCACACATACATAGTGCCATCATTTTTACTATGACTGTTCTATTCTAAGCATTTCATGCATATTGTTTAATGTCAGCCTCAGCTCTATACAGTAGGTGCTATTCTAGTCCCCATTTTGCAGGCAGTGATTTGAGGTAAGAGAGGCTACATGACTTGCCCAAGATCACACACCTAACGGATGACAGAGCTGAGACTTGAACCCAGGTGGTCAGGCTTCAGAGCCCACCCTCATAACTACTTCTACTGTTCATGATTAGCTCCATTTCCAGGTGCAGAAACAGAGACCCAGAGAAGTTCGATCATTATGTTGACTCCACCCAGAGACTGCCCATAAGCCAGGGAAATGTCCAACATATTTAACAGCGGGTAAGGCAGGACCATGAACATCAGGATGGACAAGGGCCTAGGCTGAAGCCCCTCTCGGTGCCAAACCTTGAGTCGTTAATAGCTGCCTCCTGAGAAGGTCCAGAGGCTTTCAGGGCAAAAGCCAGAACGACAAAGATACTCACACAACTTAACACAAAGGCCATTTTATTTCATGTTTAAAATGTGATTTTATTTGAGAATAGTTGACACACAATGTTACAGTAGTTCCAGGTGTGAAACTCAGTGGTCCAGCTTCTCTGTGTGTGAGGCTGTGTTCACCACAAGGGTAGCTACCACCTGTCCCCACGTAAAACTACTACAACACTGACCCTATTTGACTATGGCTATTTAACCAGAAGGGAAGTGTTTAATTATGTTATCACTTTTCACTACGACAAACAGCCCAGATAAAAGAGAACTAAAGTTCTTACTGGAATCTCTGAATTCTGCTTTGTCAATTACAGGCTTGGGGATGATTCAATCCCCAACTTTGACTGATGAGGAAACCAGGGCTGCTATGTGAAGTGTCATGCCCAAGGTCACAAAGCTAGTAAGTGTCAGGGTCCAGATGAAAACCTAGGGCTCCTGAACTGGAGCTTTCAGGGTTTGTCTGTGGTGGCTTGCCCTTTCTCCATCCATGCTGACTCTGCTCAATACATACTCACTAACACACATGTCATGAGCCCAGCCCACAGCTGACAGGGCACACACTGACAATCCCGGGATCCTAAGACACAGGCTCGGCTGCCCAAATTTCCACCAGTGATGATGCCAGTCTCATGCATATGTAGATTTTTTGAGTAAGCACCTGAATTCTGTGTGACTGATTTCAGTACCCATTGGAGGCGGCTTCTAAATTTAGAACGAACATCCCAGGCAGTCTATTGCACGAATGTATACTTCCTCAGAAGACGTCAGAAACAGTAAAGTTGACATACATAAAACAGTTTCTTCATACCTTAATAATACTGAACTGTAAAAATAAAGTATCTCCAACAAACAATGCTTTAACCACAATGCCCTTCAAAATTAACCACAGTAGTCAAGGACTATCCAGATTTGTTTTTAATGAAGAGCCACAAGAGTCCCCATCCTTACTCTCATTGCCAGTACAGTTCCCCAGGCCTGGCAGCTATCACCACATACCTGCCACTGTCCAATCTAGAGCTTTAGTAATTGATCACCTGGCATGCCAACCTGCACATTCTGTGACAATACCACCTTTGCAGGAGCTGAAGAGCCTGTTCATTTTAATCACCACCCCCTTTGTCTATTCTGATTCGTTGCTTATATTCAATTATGTGGCTCCCCTGGCCTCTGCATATTCAGGAGAGGGAGGGGCCGGGACAGGGAGGGGCCTTTCATTGAAAACATCTTAACCATGTAGACCCTGCAAAGCAACATTGCAGAGGGACCCAGAGTCCACGTTGACATGCAACCTTCCATTGAAACACCTTATCGTCCCTTACCAGAACAGATGGGGAAAAAAAATTACTCTTATGCCCTGAAATTTTCCATTCTTGATCTCAGCCCAAAGGTGACTCTTTTATTTTTAAACTTAAGCAAAAAAAAAAAAAAAAAAAAAGTTCAACTATTTTTGATTCATGCCTGGGCTAAAGAAACACACTTTGTTCTTGTTAAAGCAAGGTAAGATTTTTTTTAACACCTAAGTAGCTCAAACAACTGAGCTTCAAATGCCCAAGCATCCCAACTAGCTAGTGTTCACAGTGATAGCACGTTTGCTATAATTGCAAAGCCAAAAATCAATAGCCAGCGTAACAGGGAGCTGGGATTCCACTTTCTGTATACCTTGTCCCCAGTTCTACTAAATACTTTAAGAACGATGTAGAATTCTGAAATATTTTAGCTGGGTGTCTGAGCCTGAAGCTCTTCCTGGATGATAAGGGATAGGTCACCTGACTGCCTCTGTCCCCAGACCTTGCTCCCCTGCCCTCTTCCCATCCATCCTATCCACTGTAGCCCCTCCCACACTGTTCCTTCTCCTCGCGTTCCATCCAGCTACTCCCATCTCCATGGAGGAAGAGGAAGGTAGAACACCTGCATGAGAAGCGTTAGGGGAACAAACCACCCTTTATCCAACCAGCCCCATAACCCCATGTACCTTCCCTCTCCTTGATGAATCCCCTGGATTTCAGCCACAAGATTCTTCTCTCTACTCTCTCATCCTACCCTAACATACACAACTACAGGCCCAGGGGAGAGCCCACAGTGATGGGGTTGCCTCCATCTACCCTTCCGTTGGAGGGGGGGGAGGGTTGCTGTGTGCCATACACTTGGCAAGACCCTAGGGCCGAGTCCTGCCTCTGCCACTTATTAACTGTGTGCCTGTGAGCAAGTCGCATCCACTCTGCAAACTGGCCCTGATCACATCTGTCCTGCCTGCCCCATAGTGTCGTTATGAGAATCTCGGGGAATCACGGAAGTGGGTGCACTTTGGACTCAGCCCTCGACATAAACGTGTATTCCTATCAATAGAAACATAGTGCAGTAGAGTATGGTATGTTCCTTTAGAATAAAGTCCAACAGATATTGACATTAAGTGAAAAACACCAGGCAGAAAACAAGGCACTAAAAGAGAAGAACACAGACTGGGATCTATAGGGCTCCTGCTAAGGGCAAGTTCACAGTGACAAGCCATCAGTGAAGGGTTCCTGGAAGAGGAGGCTTTCTACCAAACCTGGAGTGGCTCTCACCACGCTGATCAAAGACCAACAGCTCTTCAAGGGCAGGGCACCTCTCTCATAGGTCTCAGTTTTCCCAGCCTCTCCCTGGCACTAAGTCACTTCATAGTAGATGGGTGTTGAGTGAAGGGAAGCCTGAACGAACCAGGAACTCGGACACCTGGGGGGAGGAGGAGGGAGTCCCAGATAAGAACAGGCAGGTTGTGGGGCGCCTGGGTGGCGCAGTCGGTTAAGCGTCCGACTTCAGCCAGGTCACGATCTCGCGGTCCGTGAATTCGAGCCCCGCGTCGGGCTCTGGGCTGATGGCTCAGAGCCTGGAGCCTGTTTCCGATTCTGTGTCTCCCTCTCTCTCTGCCCCTCCCCCGTTCATGCTCTGTCTCTCTCTGTCCCAAAAATAAATAAACGTTGAAAAAAAAAAAAATTTAAACACACATGCTTTAACACTTTAAAAAAAAAAAGAACAGGCAGGTTGTGAAGGCTTGTTCGGGGCACACCGCAGACCAGTTTGGGTGCAGTGAGGCTCACAGAGGGCAGATGAGGAAGGGGAGGTTGGAAAGGCGGGCCGGGGTCTGAGGGCAGAGGCCTCAACCACGGGGTGCAGGAGGAGGTCAAGGCTTCTGAGCACATGGAGGAGCAAAGGGAGTTCAGAGTGATGTCATAAAATCAGTATTTGGGGAGATGACTCTGGCAGCTGCACGCAGGACTGGCTGGGGAAGGGAGCACAGGAGACCTGGCAGAGCAGCCAGGAGGCAACTGCAATAATTCAAGCAGGTGGTGAGAGGGGCCGGCGAGCCACTGCCTCCCCGGCAGAATCACGCTTCTGGCAGCAACCGTCTCTACGACAGCGGGAGCGCCATCAAGGGCAACACTCGGCGACTGTCCCCATTAGACTGCACCTCCAATGTCCACCAGTCCTCCCGCCTGACAGCCGGTGCTGGCTATGCCCGGCACCGGTTTCCTGCAAGTGGCCACCTTCCCCCTCCTGGATCCCGCCAGGGCTGAGCCAGTCCATTTTTAGATGACAGCTCCCATAGTACACTCTCCCTTAAAGGAGATAAACAGGGATGAGGCGGGGTGGGGGGTGGGGGGTGGGGGCGCAGGGAGAGAGCTTCCACGGCTGAGCGCACTGTCCCAAAGAGGTATCTTCCCAACGATTTCATAAGGCACTGTGTTGACATGACACTGAAGACTACGATAAAAAGGAGGTGGAGAAAAAAGTATGAAAGAAAGGACTGGAGGGTTCAAGCCACATTAAAACCACGATGAGAGGTAAATCCTGCTGGTTAAGAGCTGGGGCGGGAGGTATGGGGTGGGAGTGGGCTCTGATGACAGACTGCCTTGATTCCAATCCAGCCCCTGCCGCTTCCTAGCCTGTGACCTTGGGAACCTGGACTCTGTGAGTCAGTTTCCCATCTGTAAAATGACGTTAATGATAGCTCCCACCCACTGGGGCAGGAGTGAGAACTAAATGGTTGATCAGTACTTGGCGCTGGTCTGTGATTGATAAGTGGGCCAGTAAGCGGCTGTGATTGATAAGCAGCTGATGGGGAGGTGGGGGCGGGTACTGTGCCAGAGGCCGGCTCCCCAGCACAAACTGGCTCTGATTCCCGTGGCTTAGGAGCAAGCCCCCTGCACTGTGATGTCCTGTAGCAGGTGCATCATTGTGAGCTCCCTGCTCTCACCGGAATTCCAGGACGACACGTGCCTCCCCACAACCTGGTTCTCTTATCAGGGGGCACACAGAACAGGCTGACGCCTCTTCCCCATCACAGACCTTCAGACACGGGAAGGCGGCTGCTGTGTCTCCACAAAATAGTCCCTTCCCAAAGGTCTTTGTGTTTCTCTCCCCTTTCATTTCTCTTAACATTCACCTGCTGCACAGAGAAGATGAGGCATCAGAGATAGCTAAATAAGAAGAAAATGTCTTTTAGATGGAATAGCAAAAAAGGGGGGGGGCTTTGAAAATGATTTGCATCCCATTGGTTCTGGAGGCTTATATGAACGGAATCCCTTCCACAAGAAGCTGCAACCCTCTGGGGAATATCCCCACACCCCACGCCCCCAGAGCCCTGCCCCAGAGAAGATGGAGGTTAGCTTCAGGTCCTCCTGATCCCCCAGGGCCCAGCTCAGGGTGGCCACCTGAATAGCCTAGCAGCACGAGCACCTCTCACCATGCATGAATGCTGTGGGAAGCATTTGAAAATAAAGTTTCCAATTACTGCTGGCATTTCTGGAGTGTCCTGCTGCTGGCTGCAGCTGTCCCATGGAAGGCCAGTGACGTCATCTGCAGGCCTGACAGTGCTGAGTTCCAAGGCTGGGCTGGGCCCATGTCACTGGGGAGGGGGAACCTGCCATTTCCTCCTGAAAGCCAGCTCTACTCGGGCTCACTGCTTCCCTTCCTGGGGAGAATTCCATTGTCATGACTTGGATCCACACCAGGAAAGGTGCAGAAGCTATTCCAAGGTCCGGGACAACCCCATTAGACAGTTTCTAAAATCTTAGTATATGCCAAGCATTGTTGTGGGTCCAGGCAAGTCCAGAGGAGACCTGCTCCCCAAATTCTCACTGTACTCATTTCACAGAAAGAAAAAAAAAAGAATGAGCTGTGTTCCTCTGCTAGAGAGAAGGAGAAAATACAGAGATAAAAAGGGAAAGGGAAAAAAAGGAGTTGGGTGCCTGGGTGGCTCAGTCAGTTAAGCATCTGACTCTTGATCTCAGCTCAGGTTATGATCTCACAGTACGTGAGTTCAAGCCCTGCAGTCAGGCTCTACACTGGCAGCGCAGAGCCTGCTTGGGATTCTGTGTGTGTCTCTCTCTATGCCCCTCTTCTGCTCTCTCTCTCTCTCTCTTTCTCTATCTCTGTCTCTCTCTCTCTCTCTCTCTCTCTCTCTCTCTCTCTGTGTCTCAAAATAAATACACTTTTTAAAAAAAGGAGTGAAAGTCAAAGGAGAAGAATGGACATGGAGAAAATGAAGGTGGGAAGCAGAAGAAAGAGGGGGAGAGGATCTGTATGTGAGGCTATTTTTGCCTCTGAGCTCCTCTACAGGTACCTCCCATCCCCCTCCTCCTCCCCACTGTTCAGGAACTCAGGTCCTGTCCTGTAGAGCTGACCAAGAGGACAGGGTGCACAATGTCTGCAGAGCAATGTAACAGATTGGGCCCAACCCCAAAATAGAGTCCAAGCTCAATGCAAAATTCAGATTTCCCAAGGGTTGGGATTGGAGTAACTGGGAATAGGATTTGCAGGCTTTGCCTGACCAAGATCCATATCTGTCGCCATATTAACCACATTCAGGCCCCTCTCAAAGTCAGAACCCCACCATCCACTCCCACCTCAGGATGGGAGGCCTGACCAGAGCCTCGCTACCTGAGACCAGCTCTTCTGACTGGTAGCCTGCCTTGCAGTCATCCTGGTTGCAATTATAATTATTAAATTACAGGACCCTTCCCAAAGGAGAAGGAAATGGGAGAGACTATGTATTCTTCAGAAGCAAGAGAAATAAAGGGAAAAGGGAAATCAAGACCTTTTCAAAAACTACCTAATAGAACCTTCAGAGCAAATCTGTGGAGTCTGATTACATAAGATCAAACTGCATCTGAGAGGTTAAGAAGTAACCCAAGGTTACATAGCCAAAAAATGAAAGCATGCCTGGGTCCCATGTGGTTTTTCTAATACATTATAATGCATTCAGTCCTGCAAAACTGCACATTTTTTAATGTTATCTTTGATGTACCCTTATTCGGAATTGCTATCTTAATGTTTCTAATAAAAATAGCCTGTAAAAGCGCAAGCCTAACACTAAAGATCATATTTTCAATTTCAGCGGTTACATTTTTCATTTCTGGAAGTTCTATTTCTTTTTCTTCAAATGTCTGTACTTTTTTAAATTAGTATAGTGCTTCTTGCTCATTTTTTCCAACAACTTATTTTTATAACATTTGAAATACATTATGTATCCAATTGGTCTTATACGTGAAGCCCTTGGATCCGATTCTTGTATCTGTTTGTGCTCTCACTCATGGTGACTAGTTTCCCTGTTTCATTATTTAAGGGTAAAGCTCATGTCTGAAGGGTTTTACCTACAGGAACCTTTCAATGCTCGAGCTATGAGAATGTCCCTCTAGAGGGAATTTGTCATTTGATTCTGACAGATGCTATGGAGTGTTATCAACCCAAAACGACATCAGGTTAATTTCAAAGCTTGGGGTGTCCTGGGTCATGCAGGTAGTATAAATTCAAACCTGAACCCTCATGAAGGCAGATCTATGACCATAAATTCTCACAGAACACATTGTTTCACCCTCCCTCAACCAAGCCAAAGGTGAAACAGGTAAAGTCCCCTGTCTGCTCCCTTTGCTGTCCCCCCACCCCCTCCTAAATGTTTGCTGGATCACCTGCTCCCTGAGGATGTAGCCACCACCACCACCACCCCCCCCCCCCCAAGGTCAGGCTTTATGCAGCAATCTCATTTCCAACTTCCCACCTGGCAAGGGCCCAAGGTCTGGTCTCCTGGGCCTTCATAAAGCCCATGCTTTCAATCCTGGCTTAAAGTCTGACACTCCTTTAGAATGATTCTTTTTAGACATATCAAAGTATCTCTCAGGGCCTGCATCTGTGTCCTCTCCTATACTTAACTGAAGGCTGGGAATGACTTTCTCTTGTCTCAGGAGCCCACAGTTCCCAGAGCCCTCTACGACAGAAGCTTTAAAAACTTTAAAATTTAAAAGCCTTTACTGGGGAAAAAAAAAAAAAGCAGCCACAGCAAGGTTTTAATGACCTACAACAGCTAATAGTAATGAAGAAAAGTGCATTCCACTGTGAAGTCAGCAGTTTCTATTAAGGGGCATCTGAACTCTTCTAAAGAAGAGAGAACAAAGAAGAAGAATGAAATATTAGAACAGAGCCAAGTAGATGTGAAAGGAATATACAAAGAATGCAGACATTCCTGTCTTTTTATTTTGCTTGGTTATTCCTCATCTGTGGCACAGCAAAATAACAGTGACACCTTTTCTGTGCATACACACACACACACACACACACACACGACGTGGGCCTTTGTTAAAGCTGGAAATAAGTGCATCATTAGAGACTACAATTCAGTTTTCTAATTTTTTTAATGTTTATTTATTTTTGAGAAAGAGAGAGAGAGCACAAGTGGAGAAGGGGCAAAAAGAGAGGGAGACACGGAATCCAAAGCAGGCTCCAGGCTCTGAGCTGTCAGCACAAAGCCCGATGCAGGGCTCGAACTCATGGACTGTGAGATCATGGCCTGAACTGAAGTCAGATGCTTTTTTTTTTTTTTTTAATTTATTTACTTTTGAGAGAGAGACAGAGACCGAGCACAAGTTGGGAAGGGGCAGAGAGAGAGGGAGGGACACAGAATCTCAAACAGGCTCCAGGCTCTGAGCTGTCAGCACAGAGCCCGATGCAGGGCTCGAACTCACAGACTATGAGATGATGTCCTGAGTTGAAGTCGGACGCTTAACCGACTGAGCCACCCAGCCGCCTCTACAATTCAATTTTCTAAAGAAACCAGACCACACGAAACCCCTGATATAGGTACAGACCACAACAGTTCTATCACTGTCAAACCTTTCACCTACATCATCCCCACAAAAAAAAAAAAAAAACCTCTGTCGTTCACAGGTTGCTGACAACTTTCTAATAACTAGTCTTCCCCACTTTCCTCCATCTACCACTCTTTCCTCTCAAAAGACATCCACTGACTAAATCAGTAACACACTCACACACACACACTTCAATTTTTATCTGCAGGTCCAAAACCCCTTACTCAAAACTGTGGAGCCAGATGTGTTTTAGAATTCCAACTGTTTCAGATTTAGAAAATTAATTAGGTGAATCTATGGGGTTTGGGCCACAAATCACTGTCACACACACTACAGTTTCTTCAGGGACACTCACATATGATTCTCCAGACTAAGCTAGATGAATCAAGACCATCAGCAGCCTCACATAAGTTTGGGGAAGGATTGCCTCCCTCCCCAAGGAGTTAGGTGAAAACCGTCACTTTCTGGAGCTTTAGGGATTTTGGAATTATAAGCAAGGGGTTGTGGACTCCGATCAATGAGTTCTCTCTCAAAATCCCTCACTTAGATCCCCAGTCCAAACGTCCTTAGGACTCAGTTGCAAAATCCATGTTCTGGTTCTCAGGAGAGGAAGAAGAAAAGAACAGTGACCAGAAGAGAAAGCATTGAGATGGGTGATGGCCAGAGAGAGCCTGGCCAGGCCCGGAAGCCACGGCTTTGTAGGCACAAAACCACAGAACATGTCATGAAATGGCCCCAAAAGGTCCCTAGCAAAGTCTCAGGTTCAATAAGTCAAGCTGGGGCAGGGTGGATGGTGGCAATCAATACAGTTGGATTCGAGTGTCAGATTTGCGACTAAGAGACACGCAATGTGAGGCAAAGCTTCAGCCTCCTCCCGGACAATGCTATGCACATCATGGGTCATGGGGATCCCATGAGGAATAGTGCCTCGGGCACTTGGTAAGTGCCATATAATTTCATTTGTAAGATTAAATTATGATTACTTTCTACATACAGTGTTTCCTGACACTTCTGAACCCAGCATTTATGATGCACATTCAGCGTCACCCCGTGATTGGTACAAATGGCTACTTTCAGAGGCCCTAAATGCTGGCCGCTGCAGAGCCTGGGTCTGGAGACCATAACCGCCACCCTCTTTCCTGCCTCACCTCAGCCCATGGAAGGCTCAGCTCAACCCCTCGATAAATGATGACCAGAACTCTGTATTTGTTACCCAGCCTCCTGGGAGACGGGCAGTGAGTGGCATAGCAGAGGGATTACTTTGGGTAAATATTTCTCTAAACGTCATTCTTGCCACCACCGGTGTTCAGGGCGAGGGGGCCAGGCTCCCAACAACCCCCGATTCTAACCCAAGGGAGCCTGGGATGCTGCAGACTTCATTATCTCACAACACAGAGCAAAGGGCCCCCACTAAGGGTGAGCTCCAGCATGAAGCACTGGTGGCAGAGGGAGGGCAAGGAGAATTCCTGAACCAGGCTCGCAAGGAGCTAGTGACTGCCTTCCCCGGAACACAGCAGCGTATCTTCCTTATAACACTTAGTACTTGGATCTGTGAGCCACTGCATTATAATTCCACCCCTCAGCCCATAGCAGGTATCCAACCCCACCTCTACAGGCACAGGAATCTCGCTGCACCTTTCTGACAGGTGGAAGCCGCCTCCCGATGCACTTTTCCAGGCCCCAGGGAACTAAATGAAAGGCCGAAGGCACTTTCCTTTACCTGGCAGGCAAACAGGGGTTATTCTACCCAATTCCCCCTGATGTACAGCTGAGAAAACTGAGGTCTATTTTTCCATGGGGCTAAAGCGCTGGTCCTCAACGCTGTCTGCACATTAGAATCGCCTGGGGAGCTTGTGACTTTCCCAGTGGCCCTGCCACATGCACGTGCTCTGCGGTGATCCTTTGTTTATCTTCCCGAGTGATTCCACTGTGCAGCCAGCGCTGCGGGCCAGTGCGCTGGCTCCTAGTTATCGATCTCACCCGTGCTTCAGAGCCACCTGGAGGCCCCCACCCCACAGGTCCTGACTCACTGGCTCCGGAGCGCAGCCTGACAATTTCCGTTTCTGATGCCGCTGGTCCAAGGAAAGACCTAGCGCTTCCCTGGTGGTCCAGGGAGAGAAGCGGAACTTTGAGAATCAGTGCGTGAGGCCCAGGGATAGCCTCAGTTTTCTCAGCTGTGGGTTGGGAAGAATGACTCCTGGCTTAAGAAGCTCTGGTCTGGAGCTGAGCTCCCCAGATTTCCATACGTACGCCTGGGAAATCTTGCTGAACTCCAGGCCTGGGCTCGGCGGATCTGGGGTAGGACCCATGCTCCAGGTCCTACAACTAAACTGGGAGCAGCGAGCCCAGACCAGCGTGCCTGACTTCCATGTTCTTCCCATGCTTCTCACTTCAGGCAGGTTTAGGGCCAGGCAACTCGGCCTTTCCCTAACAGAGATGTGTCTTCCTGAAACTTCCATTCTGACGTCCTTGCCCTGTGACACGGGATAGAGGGAATATGCCTCTCCTCCAGGAGACCCCCTAGGTATCCTGTCCCTCCCTCTGACTCTCAACCTCCCTCCATACAAATCTAACAAACCCCACCCCGTCTTCTCTTCTTCCACTGTCATGGCAAACCCCGCTCTCCACTAGCAGACTGCTTCCTAGGAGCCCACTGTGCACCGTGCCGTGTCTGGGGCATAAGGACAGAGACACAGGAAGAAACAACATCGTAAGAGGGGGTGCCACAGGCCTCAAGAGAAGGGACACCAAGAGCTGGAACCAGAGGACTGCAAGGGAAGAAGCCTCAGCCGCCCGTCTTGAGGCCAGGACGTCTCAGGGCCAGCCCCCTGCCCTCTGAGGCACCGGCCCCATTCTCCAGATAGGACAACATCAGCCTGGAAGGTGCTGCCAGAGGCAGACAAGAAGAAGAGGGTTAACAGTAATGACTTAGGTCGTTTCACAGTTACCACGGGCTTGGCATCGTGTTCTCAAGTGCTCTACACGTCCCATCTCTTTACTCCTGCCATAACCCCAAGAAATGCTCAGTGCCGTGGTGTCCCATTTTACAGAGAAGAACGGAGACAGGATGAGGAGGTGACCTGGCTACCGGGAAGTTAGAGAGCTAAAATCTAATTCCAGGTTGAAAAAGCTACACTCTTAACTGCCACATCGAAGGCTGGGAGACGCCTGAGACTCAGCACTCTCCCAAGATCACGTGTTCCTTGAAAGATGGTCACGCAAGGGCAGGTTGCTTTTGGAGCTGTCCTCACGCCATTCCATGCAGTAATAAATAACAATTTCATTTTACTCAAGATACTAGACTACTCTAAATAATGCATACATATATACAGATTAATGACTTATACATGTTAATATATGGTTATACCGTATAACAGAATATGTCATTGTAATACATAAATATATCAAATGAGTATACGTATGTGCACATATATCTCTAGTCTTACGACATCCTCATTAGGCAGATACTAAGTTCTCTCTTTTCCAAATGAGAAAGCGGATGAAAAGAGTTCGTGCAACTTCCCCAGGGGCTCACAGCTGTGAAAAGCCAGGATTTGAACCCTGACAGCTTTGTTCCCAAGTCATCCTCTTGATGCCCCACTCCACTGCTCACACTGGCTTCCTCTGACTCAACTACAAATTCAGAGCTCAGTTCGAGGCTTCTAGGTGCTCTCTATGCCCACACCATGCCCAGCCCCGACGCCGAATCCTTTGTAGGTGCCTTGATAAATGCCTACTAATGAACAAACAGATGCCTCCTGCACTATTTATAGCTCCCAGCATGGCCAACTGGCTATAATTAGCACAGCCTCCCTCAGGATGCGGCTAAATTAAACCGGTGGGATTAGAAGCAACAGCCTCACACAGCACCTCTGGACACCTCCAGCAAAGAGCACTGGTGCTGCCCAGGAGTCCCAGCCAGTGGCCTTTCTCTTGGATGGTGCCCTGATCCAAGGGTTTCCCAATGGCCTCTAGTGGCCTGATCTCAATTCTGGGGGCTGATTTCTCCTGGGACCCCCTAATAAAGTCAAAAGTAGATGAGTAATCCCTCTCTTGGAGGGTCGGGAAGCCAGGATTCTGGTCCTGGCTCTGCCTATGATCAGCCCAATGGCCAAGAGACTCCACTTGTCTGGCTTTCAGTTTTGCCTCTTGAAACGCAGAGGCCAGGACAGGTCCATTTCTGAAGTCCCTCCGGGGCATTTTGCATATGTCAAGTGGCCACCGCTGGTGCTGTCCTGGGGCTGAGATAGATCCCAGGAGGCTGTAGAGAAGGGCCTAGGGAAGGTGCAGGCCACCCACAAGGGAGGGCTCTGACCTGAGAGCCTGCTGTGACTTCTCAGCACGCCGCGCTGTCAACCTTTTCTTTAATGATCTGTGCAACTGCTCAACCGCCATTGTTGCATAAAAGCAGCCAGAGAAGATATGTAAATGAATGCACATGGCTACGTTCTAATAAAACTTTATGTATACACATTGAGATTTGAATTTCTCAGAATTTTCATGTGTCAAAAAATAATATCCTTCTTTTGTTTTTTTCCAACCACTGAAAGATATATAAACCATCCTCAGCTCATGGGCCATACAGACAGACGTGGCCAGCCATGGGGGCGGGGCGGGGGCGGTGTTGAAAAGTTTTAGTTAAGCGAATGAGAATGTCAGCTGGACCTTGCGTGAAGATGGTGACATCTTCAATCTCTCTCTCCTGGTTTGTGGAGGATGGGCCAATGGGGGTGTTTTTCCAAAGGCTAAGAGACCCTTCAGGAGGCCCCTGGTATGGGTTAGGTGAAAGATAAAAGAACCCAGCAGAGGAAATGAGACATAAAGGCTCCTCCTGGACAGTAGTCTTTATACTCACCCACTGAGGCTGTGAGGCAGGTGTCCCAGGATCTTTCTTACCAAAACAGTGAGCCACTGCCTTCTATGAATGGCAGTTAAACGTAAACAAGCATGCTGAGTTTGAATCTGGATAACAGCCCTTCATCCTAGCAAAGCAAATCTACACTAATCGCTTTAGCTCCCCACACGTACCCAGCTAAACTTTACATAAAATGCTGCTAAAAACAAAGAAAGAAAGAAACAAACAAACAAACCTTGATGTCTATAATAATGTTACTGTGCACGTATAGGAAAATGGCCCTTAGGGGCACCTGGCTGGCTCACCCGGTAGAGCATGCGACTCGTGATCTCAGGGTCATGAGTTGAAGCCCCACGACGGGCATAGAGGTTACTTAAAAAAAATTTTTTTAATCTAAAAAACAGAAAAATGCCTTTATTTTTCAGAGAGGCATAGTACAATCTTTGGGATGAAATTCTGTGATGTCAGTGATTGACTTTTTTTAGGAAATAAAAGTGAATGCAGGAAAACAGCATCCATTTCTCCCGTCGTCCTCCAGCCCACGGCTTGGAGAATCCAGGACACGGCCTGCTCCCCCAGAGGAGACATCTGTGCTCGGCAAAGGTGAAAGTCCTGACCCACAAGCAGGTGAGAGCAGAGGACAAAGCCCAGAATGTTCCTGAAGCTATGCCATTACTGAGAGTCCATGCCCACGCTGCCTTACGGCCCTTTGCCAAGGGCCCAAAACGAGGCTGTAAATTTCTGGCATGGCACTTATCAAAGCTGACATTTATCGAACCCTTACCCTGTGGCCTAAGGCTTAAACTTCATGACAAGCCCCAGAGGGACATACTACTATTATCTCCATGTTGCAGATGAGCAAACTGAGGCTTGACGTACAAACCGTGCAGGCCCACAGGTCCCCAGGCTTGGTTTAATGCCCTGATGCCACCACCTTAAAATCCTTAATAATGTTTGAACAAGAGACCTCGAATTTTCGCTTGGCACGGGCCCCCACAAGTTAGGTAGCCAGTCCTGCTGAAAGTGGCCTAGATCACATGGCTCGCCAGTGAGCCCAGGCCATCAGCCTCCAGCACCGGCCCTCCTAACCACAACACGGTCAGAAATTACATTCATGAAGTGCCTCCTTGATTCCAGGCTCTTAAGAGGCAAAGCCAGGCGAGACACCAGGATTTGTTTGACACCCAAGTTTGGACTTTTAATCCAGGCAGGACAAAGATTCGGTGGCCTGGGCCAATCAGCCTGAGCACAGTTTACCATCTCCTACCACTCTCTCCCTCCTTGGGGAACACAGGGCCGGCCGTCTCCATTTACCACACAGCAGCCTTGGGCTGGTGACGGGCACTGCATGGGGACTGGCCTCAGAAGAGCCACCCTGCTTTGCCTGGCCCAGCCCCGCTGTCTGGCTCTGACTACAGATGCACGTGCCCCTTGACAGTCAAAAAAGACTTCGAGGGGTGGGAGAGTCAGGACAGAGGCAGTTCTACAAGCAGTTATCAGTTTCCCATAACTAAGCAAGAAAGCCTGCTGTAAAAAAGAAAGTAAAATCTCTCTTAAAAATTCAGCAAACCAGAAGACATGCCCTTGGGATACAGCTTTGAGGTTCCACTTCTCAAACTTTCTAAGGGTTGATAAGATTGGCAATTTCTCCGGCAAGATCAAATGCATGTCACCCCAGCCCCAGTGGGGAAAGATCAGAGTCCAGACACCGTGACTGACACTGGGCCCAGCTCGGAACTAGTGGGCCAGGGGTCGAATCCCTGGCCCTGACACTCACTGGCTGGTTGGCCTTGGTGAGTCACTTAACCTCCTTGCACCTCGACTTCCTCCTCTATAAAACAAGTAACAATGGGTTATTGCCACACAGGGCTGACATGGGGCATGCACACGTTAATGCATGTGAAATAAGAGTGTAACAATCGCTAGCAATTCGTATTCGTAACATCATCTTCCAGCTGGAATTTAAGGCCCCGAAGAAATGCTCACACATCAGGAAGCAGCCTCTGCTAAGTCTCTCACCTCCGGAATCTCTAAGACAAACAAGCAGTATTGCCCTCTCTTGACCAACCACAAGGAAGCGCCTGTCCCCAGTAGCTCCCAGAGCCATGCCCCCCTGGGGGCCTTCCTGACCTGAGCAGTTGAGGCCTTGGCAGACACCCAGGTGTTTGGTTCCATATTAGCTTCCAGATGAAACTTTCAGCCGACTTTATTTAAGAGATATGTGACTGCTTAGCTATGGGCATGGACCCAAAGCATAGGGCAAGCAGCCAGCAAGGGAGGCCCCACTTCCTGTGTGATTTGTCTGCACCCATAACCAGCCACCGACCGGCCCCATGCGCCAATTTGCAGGGCAAAGCTGACTCGGGCGAGGTGAGATAATTCCACCATCTCCACCCCTCCTGCTTCAGTCAGCAGCACTGTGGGCCTCCAACCTTCTTTTGGCTACAAATATCGCTCACACGTCCAGGACTGTCATGGCTATTGCACACCTCTGTGCCAAACTCATAAGCAGGGCTGCTCTCGCTGACCTCTGACACTCAGAGCCTGGCCCTTGGGGTTCTGCCTACTCCTCCTTGGTCCTGACCCTTTGCCTCTGCTCCCTGGACTCCCAGGTTGGACATCTTCCAGGTGAGACCCATCCCGGCCCTGACCACAGCTAATTCCACTCTGAGCAACTGAAGATCATCAGAAATCAGGTCAATGTATCACTGGCCCAGTTTCACAGAAAGATGGATGGGGAGAGAAATGGCTACTGGAATCCAGGTCCTGGCAAACACAGGCTTGACAGAGCCTGGGCGGGAATCATTTCTCACACAGGGGCACCGGTTCAGGAGACGATACGTCCAGGGACTGGTCTAACACCTGGGAGAGTCTAATCGCAAGAAGAAATGATTGGAAAACATTTAGCCCTTGGAGCCTATGCTGCTACAGTTTTCTGAGACCTGAAATCTGAGTAACATGACAATCAGCTTCATGACAAAAAGTCCATCCTTGAGGGAAACTCGTCCACCCTTCTCCAATCAGTGACCTAACTTTCCATACAGGCAGAGCAGGGTCAAAGTTTGTCCTGGGTTTGGGGTAACGCCTTTGGTTCTGTGGCAGAAGAAAGGAGAAGATGGGGTGTCGACTCCTTATGGCTTTGGGGCTTTCCCTGAGACCGCCCATCCTTTCACCCACCTTTCACACTCAGCCTCAGTGCTGGCTCAGGAGGAAAGACTGTCACGTCCAGACTCACTTCCTAAAGGCCTGGTCTCCAGCCCCAAGCCCTGATCATGCCCAGGCAGGAGACACTAAGGAGGAACAGCCATACATTCACTTAAAAGGAATTTTCCATTTCTGAAAAGTAAAATCTCCTTCATAAATAATGCAATTTCAGGGGTCTGAGGTGGGGGTGGGGGATGATTACCCTCTGTCTCCTTCATATGTCATGCTTTATCATACCTTATCCAGGACCTGACCTGGTGACGATTTGCTGACTCCTTCAGTTGCTTAGTCCAGTTACCAAAACTTAGAGAGCAGGACTTGAGTACCCTGCTAGTCAGCAACTCAGGGTCAGAGAAACTGTCAGGCCACAGTCCTGGCTCCTTGCTAAGCCCCCACTCCCTTGGGTCAGGCCTTGGTCTTACCACCCACCCAGTTCTTCCCTGACAACAATCACCAACAGCCCAACATACAGATAAGAGCATTAGCCTATGAGCAACCCTTATCTGTCTCGCTAGCCACAGAATGCGGTACGTTGAAGTTGTTCAATACGTGTTTTTAGCCAAGGAAATGCTCCTTGGAATCCAGGCCATGGGTCGTTCAGTCCCACGCTCTGTCTCTGATACAGACACCAAACGGTGAGCTGGGGGACAGCCTGGTCATCTGATATCCCCTGGGAGGCCCAAGGTCCAACCCAATCCTTCAGACCCTGAGAAGTCCCGCAGCGGAGCCGGCATTCACCGGTACCCACCGCCCACACCCCACCTCCCAGGTCACCTCCAGCTTCCTTGATGCACCCCACACTCCCGCCCGGGGGACACCACTTTCTCCCCCCACTGGCCATTCACCCACTGCGGCACTTGGCTCACGCTCTTCTCTCACCCTGAAGTGCCCTCCCTCGCCTTCTCTAGACTGTCCCTCAAAACCCAGAAGATGTGATCACTCCCGTCCTGAAGCCCTCACAACAAATCTCGAGTGCTCAGACCACAGGCCAACAGTTGGCTGGATGAGCGGGTTGAGGGGGGGGATGTACCCCTGCTCACAACCTGCATGCGCGTGGCTGGGGGAGGGGGCAGAGAGGTGGCTCCCTGCCGCGCAGGGTGAGAAGTGACCGTGTGTGGTGCCACAGCCAAGAGCACGAGCTCCAGGGTCCAACCAGCAGGTGGGAGTTTCTGCTCCCTGACATACTAACTGCGCACGCTTCAGGCGAATCACTTAACTACATGCATCTCGGTTTCCTCTTCCAGAATTTGAAAACGATGATGACTCCTACTTCATTGAGCTGCGCTCATGATTAAACGAGTGACTACAACTGAAGATGCTTATTACACTCAACAATCCCTTACTGTAAGGAGTGAAGATAAGCGCAAGGAATATTGCTTGGTTTTGTACCAAGCTCTTACCTGATTCCCTTCACCGGA